AACTCCTCTTCCAATGAAGTGGGTGGAGGGCGGCGACGTCGAGACCCCCGGCACTCAGGTTAGGGAAGACGCTGGGCCGGGCGTCCATCCTCCGACGAGTCCTGGCAGGCGCGCTTCCGGCCCCGCGCCGGTCGCGGTGTTTAGTGATCGCTCCGCAGCCCGCGCCGCGGCCCTGCAGCAGGCGCTCAGGTTACGCACGCCCAGGAGTCAGGGGCGTCCCTGAGACCCGCCGGGCAGGGCATGGGGGAAACTGTCGCACTCGCGGGTGTTCGGGGTCCCGAAGGAGCCGTTCAGATCCTCTGAAAGGCTCCCCGGCCCTACTTCCGGTGGGTTCCTTGATTCCTTTTGTCTGGGTCCCTTCTCTAAGGGGAAGCGCATTTACGTGGAAAGGCTGAATAAACATGAATGATAGTGCCCGGGTGGGCGCCCGGCGCGCTCAGAAGCCCAACCCCTGGCCCCTCGCCCGCGCGCACCGCCCTGCGCTCTGCCCTTTGCAGCGCCGCTACCCGGCCCACCTCCTGGCCTCTGCCCCTCGCAGTGGCCCCCGCCCGGCTCGCCGACCGACCCCTCCTAGCCGGAGGTTCTGAAGCCGTCTCCTCCTCGAGAGGACCCTATGGCCTGGAACCGGCCCCTGTCCGCCGCGCGGGATTCGTCCTCTTCTACGCTTCCACCTCGTGGAGCTGCCTTCCCCGCCCCTGCCTTTCGAGCCCCGGCGAGGGAACCCTAGCCCTCCGCAGCCTGCGTCAAGCCGGCTCAAGGCCACAGCCCAGGCCTGGGTAGGGGAGTCCTCCACTTCCAGACCCGGTCTCTGGCGCCAGGCTCCTGCCCAGCGCTCGCGGGGACCCGAGTGCTACGGTTCCACCCCCGTGAGCGGCCCCTTCCACCCTCTATCCCGGCCGGCGGGGCCGGGAAACACAGGTAGGGCCAGAAGGGTGAGCGGGACGGGGTGGGGGACCGAGCAAAGGAGCTAGGGACCGACTGGTCAAGGTCTGGGCGGGAGTCTGGGCTTGCGACATGCCTGCAAATCTCAGTTCTTGAGTTTTAATCCCGAGATGAGGCGCCTCCAAGTGGGGCGAATTCCCCGGGGAGGCCCGTGCAACCATCCCAGAAAAGAGCAGGTAAAAGACGCTTCAGCTGTTGGGGCCCAAGGTGCGATCGCTCCAGGGTTTATTGTAGTTGGTGTTTACGCAGCCCAAGATGTTAGAAAACTGACAGTTATACAATGGCCGACATCCTGCCAGTGCTGTTTCTGGCGTTGGTTATTTTGTAAATTGGGGCTCAGAGATACAACCTGAATTCTAGTAACCAGGTGATTTTTCCCTAAGTGGTTTTCTTTGACTTATTGGCAGCCAGGTTAAATTTCCCCGCTATGCTTATGCTCTGAAGCCTTTTAACACGTTCCACATTTCTAAGGAAAAATAAAACAGAAAGCAAAAACTTCATTTAGAAGCCAGTTCTTTGTTTGGTGGCTTTTTTAAAGTTTACTAAAAATATTTAAACTTGAGCTAGCCCTGGTGTTTAAGTAAGCTGGATCCCACATGGCCCACCGTGTGGTGGGAGTCCAGGCCCCTGTGCTCATAACACACCCAGCCATGGGTAGATACATGCTCCAAATCCAGACAGGATAGAGAGATGGAGAAGCACGACCATGCCCACTGGGGATCTTTGCTGCATCTCCCTATTTCTCTGTCTCTCTGTCTCTCCCTGGCAAATTAAAAAGAAAAAATTTACACTTGCAAATAACATTTTAAAACAATGAAACTATTTTTAAAGAGTTATTTGCTTAATTTTACTTGTTATTTATTTATTTTTTAAAATTTGACCAGAAAGAGACAGGGACAGAGAAAAAGGGAAAGGAAAAGTGAGAAAGCAAGCCACCAGGTCTGGGACTCGAACCATGGTCAGCCATGTGGGAGTCCAGTGCCTTAACCACTGCACCACCTGCTGGCCCCATCAATTAAATAATATTTTAAAAGCATGGAAAGGGACATTATGAGAATACAAACATTTTTACATTAAACTGTCATTTTCAGTACAGACAAATTGGAAGATGAGAAGAAGGGAAAAAAATGTAATGGCCCTGAGTCCACCTCCCAGAGCTGACTGCAGCTGGCAACCTGACATCTGTTCTGAATCACTCATACTATTTAATTGGGAGCATATGAAACTAATGGTTTTGTAAGCTTGTTCTTAATCTATGCCAGATATATTCTTGTCAGAAATTTTAGGGCTCTAGCATGTCCCCTTATAATGGGACACAGTGTCCCATCATCTGACCACACCACAGGTTATTATAAATTCCTTAGTGTGGGATACTTGTGTCAGATCCAGTTTCTCAGTCTGAAAAGCAAAGCTGTTTGAACTCCCTTCTATGTACGAGCCTGGCCATTTGGTGGGCCATGATAGATTCCCTGAGGTGGAATTTCTGAATTTCAAGGTATATGGTTTGTATATACCATGTATAGAAAAGGTATACATTTTGTCTAAAATGCTCTGGAGAGGGCTGGTGGTCAAGGGAGCTGGATCCCACATGGCCAACCACACAGTTTGAATCGTGGTGCCAATAACTCAGAAAACACACTGGGCATGTGGCATGTGTGCTAAGATCCTGACAGGATATAGACATGAAGAAAGGATTGTATGACTACATCCCATTGAGGGTTGCTTTCTCCTCCCTTCCTTTCTCTCCCTTTCTGGTGAGCACATTCAGCCTCTGGCAAATATTAATTGATTAAAAATGCTCTGGGGGACCAGCAGATGGTGTAATGGTTAAGTTGCTGACCTCCCAAGTTCCAGACCTGGTGGCTTAAAAAGCAATGCCAGGTGCATGTGCGTGCGTGCCCAAAATCCCGAGAGAAGAATGGAGGAGAAGGGATTGAGGCATGCCATCCCCCCTTACTCACTTTCTGTCTCTCTGTCCCTTTCTGTCTCTCTGGCAAGTGCACATGCCATGTGGCAAAAATCTCAAAAAAATTCTCTGGGGCCAGCAGGTGGCATGGTGGTGAAGGCACTGGACTCCTACATGGTCGACTGCAGTTCGAGTCCCAGACCTTAATATATGAAACTCATGCCAGGTGCATGTGCGTGCATGCCCAAAATCCCAAGAGGAGAATGGAGGAGAAGGGATTGCAGTGTGGCTATCACTCCAGAGGATGATTTCTCACTTTCCCTCTCATTGTCTTTGTCCTGTGAGTTCTCATGCCGTATGGCAAAAACCTAAAAAAGAAATTCTTTAAAAATTATCTTATTTAACTTTATTTATTTTAATTTGAACAGAGACGGACAGAATGAGAGAGGGAAAGTGAGAAACCAAGATGCCAGATCTGGGACTCAAACCGCAGTTGGCCATGTGCGAGTCCAGCACTCTTAACAATAACACACCTGCCAGCCCCAAAAACTTGGAAAAAAAAATCTTTTTTTAATGCTCTAGGGACAGTTAACCAATCTAAATGTTCTGATGAGGTCTTTGAGAATATCTTAAATTCTTTGTTCTAGAACAGAGATTCTTTTTTTTTTTTTTTGAGAAGTTTTTGCTATAGGGCGCGTGAGCTCGCCAGACAGACAGAGACAGAGAGACAGAAAGCAGGAAATCACCCCCCAGGGGTGGTGGCCACGTGGCAATCCCTTCTCCTCCATTCTCCTCTCGGGATCTTGGTCACACACGCACACGCGCCCAGCGTGAGTTTAAGCCACCGGGTCCGGGACTCGAACTGCAGTCAACTATGTGGGAGTCCAGCAACATAGCCATTACGCTAACTGCTGGTCCCTAGAACAGAGATTCTTAACCTTAGATACATGAGCCTAGAATTTAGGTGACCTAAAAATTAGAGGGGATGAAAAATGCTGTCTTTGCCAGTAATATCTTGCTGAAATTTTCTTCAGTTTTGAAGGCCCTTGGGTGGTACTGAGCAGTTGTGCAGCTTTGTCTCTGTAAATGCCAGCATCTTCCCAGCTCCTCTGGAGCTCATTGCTGCACAGATGTGTTTCCTTTTAGTCCTACATACACACGTTCTCCTGACAAGAATCCAGGCGAGAGAAGGATAGGAGCCAGCCCCCGGTCTGGTGAAGGAGGCCCATTAGCCACCTTCCCCATGCTGGAGCGAATAGTTGGTGATTTGGTTTTTATCTGTGTTTTCCTGGATACTTGCATTATTATCAGAGAGTAAAGGTGATTCAGACCTTTATCACAGTGACCTGGGTTCAGGGAACCAGCTATTCATACACCCTACATTCAGCCTATCCCATCCAGTTCCCAGGCCCATGCTGAGGAGGCCAGCTATCTGCTGCCAGATTAAGGCAGCAGATCTTCAGTCTTGTGCAGGATAGGAAATGGTTCTCTCTGAAAGCGTGAGTTTCGTAGGCTGCGGGAGAGGAGCAGGCAGTGGAAATAGAGGTGCCAGGTCTGCGAGGCTGCTGTGCTCTCACCTGGGACAGGACCAGGTGAGTCAGCCCTCTGCCATGGGGCTGGACCAATTGAGCTCCCTGGCCCCACCCAGTTTCACTTCCCATGATGTTAAACACAGCCTCAGAGGGATGTGTGTTCAAGATGGAAACTCCAGGCTAGGTGATAAATGTTTCCTTTCTTCAACCATCATCCAAGTTGCAATAGCTCACGTCACTAAGCTGCTCATGAGTTGCTGTAGGTTATTCATTTTTACTATTGTCCATTATTACCTCCACAGTTTACATGTTTATTCTGTTGATAGGCTGTTGGGTTTCCCTGGTTGTTGCTGTGATGGACAGTTCTGCTCTGAACATTCTGTACCCCTGAAGAAGTTTCTACGGGAAATTCCCGAGTTTGGAATCGCTGGTTTGTAAGGTATATACATCTTCACCTTTCTAGATAATGCCAATGA